CTTCGGTAGAAAGTGTGGTGATCTGATTTCCAAGTTCATGTTTTATGCTACGCACTTCCTTCAATAGAGTTTCCTTTGACTTCTTCAGCGCTGACAGGCCCGGATTCATCTCGATGTCGTTAGAACAAAGAATCCTATGATGAACAACCCCAGCGGCACAGGGTTACCACCGAGTAGACAATGGTCCAGCGCCCCTGAGAGTGAACTGGCCAAGCTGACCATTCAGTATCTCCTGGCGATCGTCACTGACAACACAAACTTCATAAATATGTTCTTGTGGTAAATATGAATATAAATCCAAATTTTCGCAAGTGGAAATAAGAGCAAAACTCAATCCTAGATGCAATGAAAATAACGTTACACATAAGAAAAGTCTGAAGTGTAAATCAGATCCGACAACTGTTGGTGAATACTCGCCATGTTTTTCGAGTGTTACTTGTCGGGTGCCTCTAGGTTGCTTGAACAGTCCAATTCTTGCTCTGTAGACATCAATGGTAACCATTTTGTGGAATATGAGGTTTGCTGATGCTCTGTATTTCACTTTGTTACATGCTCATGTCGCCATAATGTCGAAAAGCAATTTTAATTCAACCTTTAGACATTCTAATCGGAGAGCGCTGACACTCACGTCTAGTCACCTAGGGGCAGGTAACTCTTTTAGTGGCATATCAGTAACTTTGTGTTTCGTTTCATATGTGCACCACAACACTGCTAGTCTTTTGCAAACAGGTCAATAAACAATAAAACAATACTTTTTTCAGATAAATACGTCTGTAAATGATTCTAAGACCATACACCATTGCTAGGTTTGTTAAATTATTTCCTACCGTATCATGCATATTTTTTATCCGTACATACGCCGATACGGCCCTTATCTGGAGCCCTGCATTGAGGATCTGAGATACATCAAGGATGCATGTGGCATGCATCCTCATATATTGGGAATACATCGGAGATACATATGCCATACACCTACAGTACATGTGGGATACATCTAGGACACATGTGGTATACATCTAGGACACATGGTATACATCTAGGACACATGTGGTATACATCTAGGACACATGTAGGATACATCTAGGACTCGTGGGATACATCTAGGATATGCGTGGGATGCATCTAGGACACATGTGGTATACATCTAGGACACGTTGTATACATCAAGGATACACGTGGGTTGCATCTAGGGTTGGGTACCCAAAAAAATTTCAGTACCACGGTATACCACGGTTTTTGTTCAAGTACCACGGTATTTACCAGGGTATACCATGCTGCAGTAACTAACTACTAACTAATGAATCCAATTGTCTTGTTTAATGATTTTGAATGATTTGGACCATGAAGTAATGTCATAACTATAATAAACAAGTATGAAAAATACAAAAGTGTTTTACACTTTTCTGGGAATTTCAGTCATCACAACAGGAAACTTCCACAAGATGAAATCTGAAAACTTCAAAACTGAGCTCACTGCCAAGTTCAACAACTCAAACATTATGAACAAAATAAACAATCTTGTTAATTCCAATAAGTCAACAACATTAAGCTTACATAATTTGGCAATATCAAAAAATGACGTCACAAAAATCACATTGACTAGAAATATTACAAGATTCACGTCTGAGCAATGAGATTCTTGAATTCAGCATTATTCAGGTATTAAATTACTAGGAGTGCAAGTTTTAGTTTGCAAATACTCATCACTAGTCAGCACTCATCACTAGTCAGCACTCATCACTAGTCACTAGTCAGCACTCATCACTAGTCAGCACTCATCACTAGTCAGCACTCATCACTAGTCACTAGTCAGCACTCATCACTAGTCAGCACTCATCACTAGTCAGCACTCATCACTAGTCAGCACTCATCACTAGTCAGCACTCATCACTAGTCAGCACTCATCACTAGTCAGCACTCATCAATCACCACAAAAAGGAAACTGAGATGATATCCTTCACAAACTTCCATATGAAAATGAAAATTTCAAAACTGAACAACAAGTTAACAACAAATCTGTTAATCATCAATGCCAGAGCTCCAGATAAGATTTAGCTAATCTGGGTACTGTACCCACTGTATTTTTTTTGAGTGGGTATTATGAATTTTGAGTGGGTATTTCATTTTCCGTTACCCACTGCTTTCAAATTTGTGTGTATTTCACATATTTCACATATTTCAGTCATTTACTCACCTAAGTATTATGTCATTGAGTAAGTTTACTAAGCAGGTATGTTCCGCCTTATGTCATACCGAAGCAAAACCAACTTAAATATAATGGAAATGATTTCATAAGAAATCACTCATCCTATACTGACAGTACAACTTGATAGCAATCGATGTCTTTTTCATTACGCAAGCGATTTTTATAATATATTCCGTACGCATTTGTTTTAAACTTTTTGCGATTTTTATCTAACATTTTAAATGCCGAATTGGTACACAACAATTATTTTCAATGTGTAATTGGAAATTTTCTAACAAATATTTTGTGAAGAGAAAATAGTGGATTTGAAACAAAAACCCAGCTTATCTGGGCCTCTGCATCAATGCCATTGCCAGTACTTTCCGTTCGAGTATTTTCTTCATTCAATCTACATTGGATAGTGGCATTTTAAAGAAACCATATAAAGAAAAACTAGTGACATCACAAATTTTGCTTGCGTAATGAAAAGACATCGATTGCTATCATGGTGTACTGTTAGTATAGGACAAGTGTTGTACTGTCAGTATAGGATGAGTGATTTTTTATGAAATCATTTGCATTATATTTAAGTTGGTTTTGATTAGGTATGACATAAGGCAGAACATACCTGCTTAGTAAACTTACTCAATGACGTAATACTTAGGTGAGTAAAGTGACTGAAATACACACATATTTGAAAGCAGTGGGTAACGGAAAATGAAATACCCACTCAAAATTCATAATACCCATTCAAAAAAAATACAGTGAGTACAGTACCCACATTAGCTAAATCTTATCTGGAGCTCTGCATCTAGGATACGTGTGGGATACATCTAGGACATATGTGGGATACATCTAGGACACATGGTATACATCTAGGACACATGTGGTATACATCTAGGACACATGTGGGATACATCTAGGATACATGTTGTATACATGGGACACATATGGTATACATCTAGGACACGTGGAATATATCTAGGATACACGTGGTTTGCATCTAGGATACACGTGGTTTGCATCTAGGACACACCTGGTTTGCATCTAGGACACACGTGGGATTCATCTAGGACACATGTGGTATACATCTAAGACACATGTGGGATACATCTAGGACACATGTGGGATATGTGGTATACATCTAGGACACATGTGGGATACATCTAGGACACATGTGGGATACATGTGGGATTCATCTAGGATACACGTGGTTTGCATCTAGGACACACGTGGTATACATCTAGCACACATGTGGTATACATCTAGGACACATGTGGTTATACATTTGGGATACATTTGAATACATCAAGGGGGGGTATATGACCATTTGTGTATCTGGTACAAACTGTTGATCTGCTTATTTCTATTGACTTGACTGCATGTGTAATATTCAACTGAGTTAATCATGTTTAATTATAGCATGATTGCCTCTACATGGGGCCTGTGTTTCTGCTTGCACCATGATTATCAGATTTACTAATGTTCCTTGTTTCACAAACAAGCAAAGTGGTATGTGGGAAGTGCTGTGTGTGAATAGTTTTGATATTTTCCGGATTATGCTTCCTGCATCTTGGCATGGTGAAGCAGAATAAATACCTCTGAGACCACAACCACAAATAAATCTCATTTGCTATTAATCTCAGGCACTTCTCTCCAAGCAACTTTACAATAACCATATAAGTTCTAGTGCCCTTGCCAACTTTAGCACAATTGTATCAAGGCTATGATTTAAGAGTCATTGTGTGTAACCACGAGTCATAGTTTGTTACCACGAGTCAAAGTCATTGTGTGTTACCGTGAGTCGTGTGTTACCATGAGTCATTGTGTGTTTCCATGAGTCATTGTGTGTTACCACGAGTCATTGTGTGTTACCACGAGTCATTGTGTGTTACCACGAGTCATTGTGCGTTACCACAAGTCATTGTGCATTACCACGAGTCATTGTGTGTTACCATGAGTCATTGTGCATTACCACGAGTCATTGTGCGTTACCATGAGTCATTGTGCGTTACCACGAGTCATTGTGCATTACCATGAGTCATTGTGCGTTACCACGAGTCATTGTGCGTTACCACGAGTCATGTGTCATTGTGTGTTACCGTGAGTCGTGTGTTACCATGAGTCATTGTGTGTTACCATGAGTCATTGTGTGTTACCACGAAGTCATTGTGTGTTACCACGAAGTCATTGTGCATTACCACAAGTCATTGTGCATTCAGTTACCACAAGTCATTGCGCTACCATGAGTCATTGTGCGTTACCACGAGTCATTCACCACGAAGTCATTGTCGCGTTACCACAAGTCAGTCATTACCATGAGTCATTCGTTACCACGAAGTCATTTATTGTGTTACCGCGAGTCATTGTGTTACCATGAGTCATTGTGTGTTACCACGAGTCATTGTGTTACCATGAGTCATTGTGAGTTGTGTTACCATGAGTCATTGTGCGTTACCACGAGTCATTGTTACATGAGTCACGAGTCATTTATGCTTACCACGAGTCATTGTGTGTTACCACGAGTCATTGTGTGTTACCACGAGTCATTGCATTACCGAGTCACGAGTCGAAGTCATTGTGTGTTACCATGAGTCATTGTGTTACCACGAGTCATTGTGCATTACCACGAGTCATTGAGCGTTACCACGAGTCATTGTGTGTTACCACGAGTCATTGAGCGTTACCACGAGTCATTGTGTGTTACCACGAGTCATTGTGTGTTACCACGAGTCATTGTGTGTTACCACGAGTCATTGACTGTTAGCATGAGGCATTGTTCCACCTGTAGTAATGAGAAGGTGTATATTTTCAGATGTTCAAGGACAAGGCGAAACAAATTGCTGACAAGCTCCTCCCAGCCTTCAACACCCCATCGGGCATCCCACAGTCCATGGTGAACATCAAAACGTTAGTGCATTTGGCCTATTTCTGTATGAATAACCTAAAATGGTGCAGTGGATAGAGAATCTGCCTGAAGAGCAGAAAGTGGATCATGCTAAAGTATTTTGAAATATGGTACTTGTCATTACCCTGGCTGGTGCTTGTCATTTGGCTAGAGAAACAAGGACAGGTTTGCTCAGAGTATAATGTGTTTGAGTGAGGTCTGCCTGGGGAACTGCTGAACTGAATTTCATTGAGGTAGCACTTTTAATCTGATCCTGACTTGTCTGCACTGATGTTGCTATAGAAGTGCAACAGCCTTGAATGCAGCGCCAGACCCCATTTCATGTCACCTGTCTGTTTAATCAGAAGGTTAAAAAACGAAGCTTTTGTTTTGACTTGTTTCATAGCTTTCAAGATGATTTTCAACATATGATTTTCAAGATGAACAAATATATGTATGAATTGTTGTTTCACTGTGAATGTATAATATTCATGATTGTATATTGTTAGATATGATGTTATTCACAAAATGAAGTTTATCCTGAATTAATGTATGTATGAAAACAATTGTGAATGCTAACAGTGGTAGCAGTCGGAACTGGGGTTGGGCCTCTGGAGGCTGCTCCATCCTGGCTGAGTTTGGATCTCTACATCTGGAATTTGCCTATCTGTCCTCCATCACAGGGGAGGATACATACCTCAAGAAGGTGAGTTCTCATTACCAAATAAGTGTTAGAAACTTTCACCTAGGAGCCCCTGGCATTGGTGGCCGAGTTCACTAAGGTGCTGCTCTGAAACCATATGACCCGTGAAGGTCCGGGTTAGAATGAACCTTCAGTAACCCATGCTTGTCGTAAGAGGCTACTAACCGGATCGGGTGGTCAGGCTCGCTGGCTTGGTTGACACGTCATCGGTTCCCAATTGCGCAGATCGATGCTCATGCTGTTGATCACTGGATTGTCTGGTCCAGACTCGATTATTTACAGACCGCCGCCATATAGCTGGAATATTGCTGAGTTCGGCATAAAACTAAACTCACTTACTCACTGAAACCATATGCTGGTGGGTTAGTATGACAATGATTATATTTGTAGCTGTATCAGCACCGTAGTCATGCCGTGGTGTTACCAGCTGTTCAACACCTGTATTACCTCTTCAAGCTGACACTCAGTGATGTAACTCAAACCGTGTTCACAGCTGCCCTACACCTAACTCACTCACAGAACAAATACCTTGTCAGTATTCAGAAAACAGTTTTAGTTATGTTATTCTCTTCAGGTAATATAACTTTACTTCACACTGATTGGCTGATTTTTACCAGATGTTAATTAGTTTGATTATCTGTATGTTAATTAGTTTGATGATATCGGTAAATGGCCTTCAGCATGCATCAGGCCTCTAGCACCAGCCAGTAGGCACTGACAGCCTGTTGGTTGTATACAGGGACCAGACAAACACCAGGGGTATACTTAGACCTGCTCAGTGGCTGTTACATTTAGGCTTTCAGAGCTACCGATAACTTTTTGGGTCATTGAGTTATGTACTCACTTGTGTTCATCTCAGTTGGGTATCCTGATTTTCCTTTGAGTAACCAAATAAATTGTACCCACCTCACTCAAACTCAATTGGATATTTTGCCATTTTCCATTAATTGTAAAAATATAATGAAGTTTAAATGTTGGTTTACATTTTTGTTATTTATATGAGAAACGATGAGAAAGACTTCAAGTTGCCAGGTTCATGTGCTGAAATAGAACTTCTCAAAATATCCAGTTATTTTATCTAACCTCAGTAACCTCCATCTGTAGCACCTGGGTCTGCTTACTCCAAATTCTAGTTGGTTTGGTAACAGGAACTAATTCACCGATACACAAGCTAACATTTTACTTTTTTGTGTGCACGCATGTAAGATCAAATTTATTGAGTATTTACAAAAAATCAAGCGTACTTGTACGCAATAGACTAAATAGGAATTGGGTTTTCACATAAATATTTGCGGAATTTACTCAAATACGCAGCTTATCTGTACCTCAAAGCTTTGTTATTGTAGACCCTGGTGGAGTTAATTTGTATTACATTTCAGAGAGGACCAGCGAAGACAGGAAGCTTTGATGCTTACTGCTGGAACTATTATACAGAAATATTCAAATCAAATACCTCAAAATTAAAAGCATTTGTACAAAACTCATTGTTCTAGTCATGCTAATTTTCCTGCGAAAAGCAGTTACTGGTAAGTTGGAACATCCAGACTCCCTGTATACTTGAGAGGAGTGACACTTATTTCCAGTAAATGAAGTCATGAACTGCTTTGGAGAAATATATGTGTAATGATTGTCATCATTACCGAGTGTAGTTGAAGAATCCATGCTGGTATTGGGACATTAGGGGGTGTAGTTGAAGAATCCATGCTGGTATTGGGACAGCTGTGTGTAGTTGAAGAATCCATGCTGGTATTTTGATATTACCAAGTGTAGTTGAAGAATCCATGCAGGTATTGGGACTGCTATGTGTAGTTGAAGAATCCATACTGGTATTTTGATATTACAAAGTGTAGTTGAAGAATCCATGCTGGTATTTTGACATTACCGAGTGTAGTTGAAGAATCCATGCAGGTATTTTGACATTACCGAGTGTAGTTGAAGAATCCATGCAGGTATTTTGACATTACCAAGTGTAGTTGAAGAATCCATGCAGGTATTTTGACATTACCGAGTGTGGTTGAAGAATCAATGCAGGTATTGGGACTGCTATGTGTAGTTGAAGAATCCATGCTGGTATTTTGACATTACCGAGTGTAGTTGAAGAATCCATGCAGGTATTTTGACATTAATAAGTGTAGTTGAAGAATCCATGCAGGTATTTTGACATTACCGAGTGTAGTTGAAGAATCCATGCAGGTATTGGGACTGCTATGTGTAGTTGAAGAATCCATGCTGGTATTTTGACATTACCAAGTGTAGTTGAAGAATCCATGCTGGTATTTTGACATTACCAAGTGTAGTTGAAGAATCCATGCTGGTATTTTGACATTACCGAGTGTATGCAGGTATTGGGACTGCTATGTGTAGTTGAAGAATCCATGCAGGTATTTTGACAGTTGAAGAATCCATGCTGGTATTTTGAAGTGTAGTTGAAGAATCCATGCAGGTATTTTGACATTACCGAGGTGTAGTTGAAGAATCCATGCTGGTATTTTGACATTACCGAGTGTAGTTGAAGAATCCATGCAGGTACTTTTGACATTACCGAGTGTGGTTGAAGAATCCATGCTGGTATTTTGATATTACCGAGGGTAGTTGAAGAATCCATGCTGGTACTGGGACATTACCGAGTGTAGTTGAAGAATCCATGCTGGTATTTTGATATTACCGAGGGTAGTTGAAGAATCCATGCTGGTACTGGGACAGCTGTGTATTTGACCAACTTGACTGATCAGTGCTGGGGAATCATTGGTTATGAACATGACGGATAATTCTTATGGGATGATAACACATGTTGCACATTTTGTATGTTATTGATTTTTAGCAGTTGATTGTTGTCACATGTTCTGTCAAGTCATATTATCCTGTGTCTTGTAGTGGCCCCCGCACACTGTTTGCAAGCAGCTGATCAGCTATTGAAATGTCAGTTCTCACCACCCCCACTAATTGACATAAACGGCATTAGCTTGTTTAGTCATTAGTCATTCTTTTTTCAGCTTCATCAGTAAAAATGGCCCAAAGCCAGTATTTTCCAATCTCATTCAGTCAGAAAATATTAAAGGTTTCTAAACTGTATGATTTTTAGTTTGGAAATTTAAATTTATGCAGAACAATTATTATTGACTTTTTATGTTTCTCTTTTATGATAAAACAGTGGCATATTTTACAGTTATGATATTTTGCTTTAGTTGTATTGCACAAAGCAGTACACCCCATCAAGTCCCTCTAATACTGAATGATAGTGTTGTCATGTTGATGTTACCAGTTTATGTAAGTCTTCATAACCATGTTGGTATGAGTGTTAATGAAGATATCAGATAGTGCTAATGAAGGTGTGTGATGATGTTGATGAAGATGTGTCACAATGTTGATGAAGATCTGTGATGATGTTGATGAAGATGTGTGATGATGTTGATGAAAATGGTGTGATGTTGATGAAGATGTGTGATGATGTTGATGAAGATGTGTGATGTTGATGAAGGTGTGTGATGATGTTGATGAAGATGTGTGATGATGTTGATGAAGATGTGTGATGAGGAAGATATGTGATGATGTTGATGAAGGTGTGTGATGATGTTGATGAAGATGTGTGATGAGGAAGATATGTGATGATGTTGATGAAGATGTGTGATGATGTTGATGAAGATGTGTAATGAGGAAGATATGTGATGATGTTGATGAAGATGTGTGATGATGTTGAAGATGTGTGATGATGTTGATGAAGATCTGTGATGATGTTGATGAAGATGTGTGATGATGTTGATGAAGATGTGTGATGATGTTGATGAAGGTGTGTGATGATGTTTATGAAGGTGTGTGATGATGTTGATGAAGATGTGTGATGAGGAAGATATGTGATGATGTTGATGAAGGTGTGTGATGATGTTGATGAAGATGTGTGATGAGGAAGATATGTGATGATGTTGATGAAGATGTGTGATGATGTTGATGAAGATGTGTGAGGAAGATATGTGATGATGTTGATGAAGATGTGTGATGATGTTGATGAAGATCTGTGATGATGTTGATGAAGATGTGTGATGATGTTGATGAAGATGTGATGATGTTGAAGATGTGTGATGATGTTGATAAAGATATTTGATGATGTTGATGAAGATGTGATGATGATGAAGATGTGATGATGTTGGTGAAGATGATTGAAGATGTGATGATGATGATGATAGATGATGATGTTAATGAAGATATGATGATGATGATGATGATGAAGATGTGTGATGATGTTAATGAAGATGTGTGATGATGTTGATGAAGATGTGTGATGATGTTGATGAAGATGTGTGATGGTGTTGATGAAGATGTGTGATGGTGTTGATGAAAATGTGTGATGATGTTGATGAAGATGTGTGATGGTGTTGATGAAGATGTGTGATGGTGTTGATGAAAATGTGTGATAGTGTTGATGAAGATGTGTTGATGAAGGTGTGTGATACTGATAGTGTTGATGAAGATGTGTGATAGTGTTGATGAAAATGTGTGATGGTGTTAATGAAGATGTCTGATGATGTCAATGAAGATGTTTGATGATGATAATGAAGATAGGTGATGAGGAAGATATGTGATGATGTCCATGAAGATGTGTGGTGATGTTAATGAAGATGTGTGATGATGTTAATGAAGATGTGTGATGGTGTCGATGAAGATGTGTGATGATGTTGATGAAGATGTGTGATGATGTTAATGAAGATGTGTGATGATGTTAATGAAGATGTGTGATGGTGTCGATGAAGATGTGTGATGATGTTAATGAAGATGTGTGATGATGTTAATGAAGATGTGTTGATGAAGGTGTGTGATACAGATAGTGTTGATGAAGATGTGTGATAGTGTTGATGAAGATGTGTGATAGTGTTGATGAAGATGTGTGATAGTGTTGATGAAGGTGTGTGATACTGATAGTGTTGATGAAGATGTGTGATGTGTTGCAGGTTCTGAAGATCCGGGAAGTGCTGCGACAGCTAGAGAAGCCCAATGGACTCTACCCCAACTACCTGAACCCTCGGACTGGCAAGTGGGGGCAGTGTAAGTGCATGCAGTTGGAATCCTCATTGGCGATGTCAGAATGTGTGCTGAATAATTCTAATGATTCTAACAGTGTTTTCACTCAACAATGTAATTAAACCTATAGAGAAAAGGGTCGGTGAGTAAGACTGTTGCTTGAAATGATGGTTTAGCAAGTCTTCATATCTCCAGTCCAGATATTGTTTTAATAATCCTAAAGTGACATGTAACCTTTCAGACTCGTTTGATTGCTTTATATAGTTGTTAAAATGGTTGTTATTGCTCATTAATGAGTCTAGGTTATTAAAGGTCCCTAAAAAGCCATGTTTGTCATAAGAGGTTGAGTGACTTGTACACTGATAGCGTTGGACCTAGCCATCACTGGTTGGTCTGATCCAGACTTGATTCTTTAGTGTTTCATTTGAGAGGAAATTTAGCACCAAACTGCTGTATTGTGTTCCAGTGATTATCATGGTGTTTTGTGTTCCAGTGGCGGTGTCAGTGGGTGCTCTGGGAGACAGCTTCTATGAGTACCTCCTCAAACAGTGGATCATGTCGGGCAAGACAGACACTGTAGCCAAGGACATGTATGATGAAGCAGTGAAGGTAGGAAGCTTTAGAAGTTATACATGTGGGGGGTCATTATACCAGCTATGTTTTTGTGTTTGTTTTGATAAACTGACAATACACAAGGCAACGCCCACTGACATACTGGTGTTCCCTGATTGACTGATAAAGGTATGGTGGTTTTTCAATGCTATTCACATTTTAACGCAGACCTGCTTGTGTGTCACAGTTTCAGACTCATTCAGTGTCAAGCTAGGACTTAAGACAGATCCTGTCAAAACTTTAGAAACTTTGTTACCCAAGGGGAATTGTTATCAGTGAATGTTTAGTATCGATTCGGAAATGGAAGTGTAAGATTTGGTGTGAAGCCATTGTCATGAAAGGGCATGGATCACCTGGATATTGTGAATTTTCAGCCTTTAGAATCCCTTTTGTCTCATTGATTTTGAGCTGGAGTGGGTTTGTGTATTTGTTCCTGTGACTGTTAGCATTAACAAACAACAAACCAATGATTGATATAATGAACATCGCTCAATGCGGTGGGGTATGAAGACACAAGTGGAGTCATGGAATCTGACCATTCATTTGATCGTTCCTTTGACCACTGATTTTGAATCTTTTCTAACCTGCACGGGGATTCAAGAGCTTAAATGCCACTACTCCTTGTGGGGATTCTGGGTTTGAATAGTTCATCAGCAACAGGTGACAACATTGATGGTAGTTGTGATATATATCCTGGTTGACTTTATGGATAAAGCCAAGTGTATCATGCTAGCAACAGTGTGTTTCCAACTCAGGACTTCACTGTTTCCAAGCTACTGCTATATTTCTGCAATACTGCAGACTGCAATGTTATAATACTCCCCATGTTATGTCCTGCAGGGTATTGAGGACAAGCTCATCCAGACGTCCAGCGGAGGCCTGAAGTACTTCGCCGAATACAAGTCTGGTCGTCTGGAACACAAGATGGACCATATGTCCTGCTTTGCTGGTAGGATGTTCCCTAGTGTCACGATCACTCCTGTGTGCCCATACTCTTCAATATACCTGCTCTTCTACATCTTTTACACTTTAACCGAAGCATATCATCTCGAATAAGCTAAGACATTGGGGGTTGTCTATCCATTTAGTGAACTTCTGGAATTAAAGAAAGATAATTTGAAGCTCTTTAATATACCTGCCCAAATAGCTTTTGTACGTCTGTTACACTTTACCCTAAGCGTATTGTCTCTAATAAGCTGTGTTTATTGGAAAGACTATGTCAGAACACATTTGAAACTTTTGTCTTTCTCCAGGTGGAATGTTTGCTTTGGGAGCAGAGGATTCGAATGACAAACAGAAATATCTCAATCTTGGTGCGGAGATTAGCAAGACTTGCTACCAGTCTTATGATAGATCACGTAAGTACTGACAACACCAAGCTGATCTCAGTCAGTGTTGAGAAATGAAGTGGAGTCTGTTGCATTCTGAATGGCTGATAAAATGTATCAGATGGAAGTCTTTCAGTTTCCTCTGAGTAGGAGTACTTTTCGTGATAAGGGTCTTTTCTTTCTCAATTATAAAATATATTTTAAAAAACATGGCTTAATTATGAAATACACAATGCCATTTAAGAAGTTGTCAAATGTATCATATGCTATATTGGGGATTACAACTTCTCACATCCGTGATTCGAACCCACACTCTCAAAGTCAGGCACCTAATCGCCAGCACAGAAAGTCAGCCGCCTAACCCACTCAGCCACCACAGCTTCCACTTGTGTGATTTGATTTGACCAATGTGTTTTCTTTCTTCAGCAACAAAGCTTGGACCTGAAGCATTCCGATTTGACAGCACAACAGAAGCCAAAGCTACAAGACAGAATGAGAAATACTATATCCTACGGCCTGAGGTGATAGAAACCCATTTCTACATGTGGAGGTTCACAAAGGACAAGATATACCGAGACAGGGCCTGGGAGGCTGTGCAGGTCAGTGACAAGGAGAACATGGGTTTCACTGAGGTGGTAAATGTTTGAGACCAGCATCACTTCCACCCTTTATCCACATCAAACTAACACAACAATCGATATGTTTAAAATGGCACTGAATTCACCCCACTGACACCAGCATATCCTTTAGAAGCAGTTTAGAAGATAGAGTTGAGTAAATGTTTTTTACATTTTGGTACAGATCCTATCAGTCAAGTGTGGTCAGTTACTTAGTAGGAGACACACACGCATGCATGCATGCACGCACACACACACACACACACACAGAGACACTGACACACAGAGACACAGACACAGACACACACAGTGTTTGATCACTGTCCTGGTGAGGTTACTTGCAATTAACTTAAAAGTCAAGTCCGGATATGTGCATGTCACTGCTATCTCAGTACAGTCAACTCTCGTTAATCCGACACTTGTGGTTGCAGAGAAATATGTCGGATTAACGAAAATGTCGGATTAATGAAAATGTCGGATTAATGTATTTGTGTGAAAATATCAATGTTTACTAAATATCATGATCGTCATACTGTTGCATGCATATCAGAAATGGTAGATCTAGTTATCTTCATCGTACGTAAAAATATTCACAGAAATAAGAAATACTAACAATACATACTTGTTTTCATTTATTAACATTCATAGATGGCATAACATACATATATAATCACATAAGCGAACAGTTTCATATCTATTTCATGACCACATTGGCACAAAACGTTTGTTTTAGCATATCAGCTGCCATTATACGGATGTTGAATATGTTACAGTTTTACAACTAAGATAATAACATGTCTAATGTAACAGGTGTATCATAACATATAATTTATAACTTGAAAAAGTCTTTGATGGTCATTAACATCAAACGATCTTCATGGTGTGTCAGAAATGTTTGCAAAATGTTCCGATGTTTTGGCCTCAGATAATCATTTATCTTTCACATCCAATCACATCGGATTAATGAGTGTCGGATTCTGAGATGGCATTTTGCTCAGATATGGGTCCTCTCAAAATCATTATCTTTCACATCCAATCACATAAAATTCAGATCTTTGCTCAGATAGGAGACATATCTGCATGTACATGTGGCGATTCTTCTACAGGAAGTCACATCAGGTTCTCCCTGTGGGTACCCAGCCCACACGAAATGACCTCAAACTGAGTAATACCCCTTAAGATATATGTATGTTTAAATGTAAAAATATTACTTGATACTTCTCGTGACTCATACACTAAAGTACCTTTCCAACCTTCGCCACTCTCCACTAAATGTTCACTATTTGGACATTACAATAGTGGAGAGAGTGACGAGTCACTTGCTGGTCAGTGGGGACCTCCAGTGCATGCGCACTGGAGAGATGAGTTTGGATGAGATGTTTTTACTGTTCTTGGGGAACGTAACACAAAGCGTTTCCACCATGTCTTGGGTTAAAGGAGAAAGAAGCAAACAGCATCAGTAAGAATAAGGAACAAATGTGTACATTGAGTGGCTGGGAAGTTAGATTGTTCAGGATCCTGAGAATAACAGCAGGACATCAGGACTGGCTGATTCCGCCACATTTAACTGATCACCTTCAAAGTAATGTTTCTTCTTGCAGGCTCTGGAGAAATGGTGTCGTGTGGATGGTGGGTACAGTGGGATACGAGATGTCTACCAGATCAACCCCCCACAGGACGATGTACAACAGAGCTTCTTTTTAGCTGAAACACTCAAATATTTATACCTTATTTTCTCTGAGGATGATCTTTTACCTCTAAATAAGTGGGTACTGAATACAGAGGCACATCCCTTACCCATCCTATCCTGAAACAACTAGTTCTACTTACATCTTATCATTGAAATGTGCACAAAACCTTGGTCTTCTTCTAATAACATCTGACCTGCAACATTTAGTGCATGTTGTCGGGCGTGAGGTGGAATGTTATAGTCACTTTATCTATGTGTTCTGAATGGCTGAGTGTGTAAATACCTGTTAATGGCAGTGTGCAAGAGTTTGGGAAACTTGATAATTTATCACCATATGAATATTGTGTTTTGTCTGTCAACAGAGAAGCATTGTCATCTATTATGTGTTCCTGGGTAGTATTGGTTTTATGAAATCAATAATAAGGCATATGTATATAAGTGTGATTGCAACAATTATTTCATAATATATGTATCGAACCTAAAGTTATGTGTAGATTAAGTGAGAAGATATACAAGTTTGATTATTAACACTAAGTTAAACACTTTGTTGTAGGAAAGTAGATGAAGATATTGTGAATATTATTATTATCACATATTGTGTGATCATGTGTGACAAATGTTAGTGTTCCTTTCAAAAAATGACTGAAAAGATTCACAGAAATGATACTGTAATACAACTGTATGCCGGTGATGGGTTTGAATGTTTGTGACCCCCAGAAAGATTTCCTCATCATATAGAATTTGACAGTCTCGTGAGAAGAGTATACATGCCAGTCTGTGTGTACATCTGATGGAGTGAGTGTCCTTTCACCAAGGATGGAGTTCTTAAGGAGACAGGGAAGCTGTGTTTTCAGGCGCTGCATTTTCACTGTGCAGGATTATCTCCCTTAGTCCTTCCTGGATCAGGGGTTCAAATTTGACCTGATTATTTATTATGCTTGATCTGTCAACATTCATACTTCTTTGTTTCACCAAGAAGATCATCACACAACATCCAGGATGTTTGGGGTTTTCCTCTATCATTAAGCTGACACGTAAACACTGGACGTAATACTGAAGGTTTATTGCAAGTCTCGCATTGTAGCACATTGTTTCCTGGGTTGACAGTATGTACACATATGCACTATGTAGAAGGTTATAACAGCCACAGCCTTGTAGTCGTGCTTTTGTGATTGTCATGATATTTAGGTAATGTACATTCTAAAATTGCAAGACTGTTATGTCTCGAAGTTTGAGGATGTAATACAGCTCACCCCTGTTACACCAGACACCATTGCAGACTGGCTCACTTCCACTGTATACAGGGCCTGTGACAACTGAGTAATCAAAAATGTGTCTGGTGTTGTGCATTGAGAGATACCTGTGGCCTGTGGAAGGTGTGCAAGGGATTGGTGTTGTGTATTGAGAGATACCTGTGGAAGGTGTGCAAGGGATTGGTGTTGTGTATTGAGAGATACCTGTGGAAGGTGTGCAAGGGATTGGTGTTGTGCATTGCGAGATGCGTGTGGAAGGTGTGCAAGGGGTTGTGCTCTGCAACAGTCATTGAGTGCTAGTGTTATCGATGTTGTTTCTCCTCATTGTTGTGGTGGTTATTTAAAGGAAAACACTGTTTGGATGACCATAGCATTGTCCTAAATACTCGTAACAGGCAACTAGTTTGTGAGCACAGTTGATACGCAGTAGTGTAATTCGTGTCTACTGTAACAACATTGTTTGATGCTAGTACTATCAACCACAGGTTTGTCGGCCATCAGGTTGTAGGCCATCTTGTTCACTACGCATGAGATATTTAGTGAAATGTTTTATGTGATGTCCTTGGTAGTTATCACCGGAAGACTTATGTGAACTTCTTTGTAAGGGCTATCATAAAGGTTTCTATTGGTTGAGACTACAGAGAGTGCTTATATTTGCTGGTTTTGACAGTCAAGTGTGTCTGTTGTGTTTGTGGACAAGACAACGAAACTCAATAGGACAATGTTCAACAGAACATGTAGATCATCATATCGTGCATATTCTAGAAAGTTATATTCATCTGTTCAAGGTCATCTGGTTCAATGATGTGCCACCTGTGAAAATCCGGGTTAGAATTGATCTTCAGTAACCCATGCTTGTCGTAAGAGGCGACTAACGGGATCGGGTGGTCAGGCTCGCTGACTTGGTTGACACATGTTGTCGGTTCACAATTTAAGGATCTTTCCAGCTCATAACCCTTTTCATGTTTTCTTTCACTGTCAAACTGTTTACAGTGGTTTCTGTTTGAGGTTGTCTTCAGGTACACAGCATACACATCAAAACTCGTGTTTTATTCAAGGGTCACATTATTCTTTCTCTAATGATCATCAGGAATTGAGCAAGTCGTCTTTTGGCATTAAAAATGATGATATTGTGCTACCTTTTGTAAATTATTTGGTTGTACTCTGTACATATTTAATGGGATTCATCTCGATGCCTCTGGTGACAGCTGCATATTGTACATCTTGTAGTGTTGGGATGGTTTATTGTTTTAAGGTATCACTGCAGAGTTGTTTCCCTTTTGTCGTGTCAGGATATGTATGTGGTGGGTTAAGATTTCATGTTCGCCTTGATTATGACCTTCGAAATTTCAACATTGTGTCTTGATTGTTGGTTTCCCAAAGGTGGCAAGTGTCTGACCTGTGTTAGGTTTTTCTCGTTAATTACATGCTGATGTTGCCAAGTTATGAGCTGTTTTGACTAGGCTGGGAATATATGGGAACAATTTGTGTTTGATGGTTCATCCCCTGGGTCGACTTGTTGAGAAATAACAAACTGTACATAATAAACTTAGTGACTTCTAAAGATTTGGATAGTCAGTATCTAGATAGCAGGAAAACGTCTTTTCCCTGTTTCAGGATGGCTGTGAGTGTGTAAGTTGGGTGATGAACAACCATTATTTTATCAGTCTGCCTTAAACTATCATCTCAGTCGAATACACTTTTGGTAATGGTCAAACTTCGGTTTTCATACATGGAACACAGAGATCCTCTCATTAAATTACAGATAACATAACATGTTACATATTTGGTTTTTAATGGTAAATGAAATAAATGAAAATAAGTATCTAGGCATTAATTTCTTACAATGAAACTGTTTTTGTTTATGAAGCATGAGACTTCATGGATAACAACATTATATTTTTTTCATAGAGCAATGTTTCTGAATGTTGATCTGTGCAATAAACAGGAAGTATTTACCACCCCCACCCTTAAAATCATTATGGACATACCATCTTCTAGAATGCAGATCAACAATTAATTTTTTGTTACTGTGATAAGTCCATGAACCCGGAATGAAAGTACTGTTGGATGGGAAATATGGGTGTAGTTTATCCTTTTGTCAAGTAATGAAAACATTGCACACAACAGAGGACCACAAGACACTTGTCATGTTAACCACTGATTGATAGCAGAGTCTTGTGTGTGCTCCCATTATGCAACTATGTGTGCCAGCTCTGTCGACAAGCACCTGCTCACTGTCCTAGGTACATATGTACTCATAGATACACTGTGTAGCAGCTCAGAAATGGAAAATGAATTTCACTTGCATATTGTCACAGATCTCGTTGTTTACCCTGATATTCACCAGTAGACTGTACATAGAAGTTAGCCATACAATCATGGAGGTTGTTGATTTAACACAGATGTGGCTGTGCCCGGACAGCTCTGAGTGACACTGGTATATACACTGAGGCCAATCAGCACAATGTGTTGCACCAAATTCTGTCATTAGGATTACATGAAATATATTATGAAAACAAAACATTGCAAGTATATCTGGATTTTGGCATTACTTCAAGTTAGTATAGTTCTCGAAATTTGCTTAGCCAAGTTTTGTTATTGCTATATTACCTCCATGTTAGGTGTGTTGCCAGGAAACATGTAACAACTCGGTGAAGTTAATCAACTTAATCTTGTAATTGATTTAATGTTGGGTTGTTACTTGTGATAACCATCTCTGACCTGCATCACTCCAGGCTCTCTCACCCCCCCCCCCCCCTCTCATCAGACTGACTGACCGTCAAATCCTTTCAAAGTGGCACTCAGTTTGTGTGTCCATCTTGACTAGAATGCTCATATAATATCTCTTAGAAAGAACTAGAACGATGTTTTGTTTTGTATAAGAGATGGGAGATTATGCAACAAAATGGTTCTGTCAGGAGTTTATCAGATCTAAGTTGGTGTTATACAAGGTGCTTGTTTTGGGTGATAAGTTGAAAGGTCTACTTCCATGGACGAAGTGTGTGATACAGTGCTGGCTTCTGTAGTTGGCAGATAGCTCAGACAATCTGGGCGTGACCTTAGCAGACATTGGTTTTTATGATTCAATTTATTTTATCATCTGGCTGTGGTTTCCTTGTATATTGTTTGTAGGTTGTACATAGTCTTTACAGTTTTACTCCAGAGATTCTGTGTTTTACTTAGTAGTGGGTTAAACTGTCCTGTGTTTAGGGCCTTTCTGAAATCATGCTGTGGAGTTGTTCAAAGACAATTCAACAATTATCTTAAAATCCAATGAGGGAAGTCCAGATTGTGCCTCACAGACTGATTGGTGGCCTGATGTACTCAACGTCATACATGAAGAGTTGATTGAGGTCGGGTTTTACTAAAATAGATCAATACCAAACTTCCTAATAAAATATTATGAAATCAATGTTTTGGATTGGTTTCTTCATAAAATGAGAAAAACAGTCCAAAAGAGTTGAATATTTCCTTCATTCGGTTGTAAGACCTGAAGCTCACTGCAAGAAGCCGCCAATGTTTGGAAGTTTACCCACACGGAGGATGCTGGTAACTGCAGCTCTGTAGTCCCAAGTCAGCAGGTGTTTCTTCAATCAGTAACTAATCTTAATATAGTGCTTTAAAACAAGTAAAGTAGTACTGATCATGTAATTTATTTTTATGGAGTCATATGCATTGTGTGAAATGAGCTAAAGCACTGCCTGCTTCAAGAATGGGGCACTGGTGGCCCTGATACCTGAGGCCCCCACAATTCGTTGAGAGCAGGGAGAGAGACAGCGGAATACCAAACTCACTCACTTCAGCAGGAAACAGAAGAAACTTCTAAAGAAGGTAGTTTCTAAACTTCTTTCTGGTGTAGTGAACAGTAAGAGTGATTTTACCAAAGTCTTAATGCAGTTAGTGTGTCAGTGGGATGTGTTATGTAATCATTTCCTACTGATGATATATAGTCTCAATAACCTTTACCTCATAGTGTGTTAATTGTGCCTGGGCAGGGCTGGAGGTCTCGTCCACAGTGTGGAAACATGTATATGTAAACTTGTATGCTGTACTCCCTTATAGACCTCGTTACGCAACAACTCTGTCATGTGACTGTTTGTATTGACAGTATGTTCATTCCATACACCGAGGAGTCTAAAGCAGCCCTCTTCTATCATTATCGTAGTGTTAGCATATCAGACGAAGAAAGCCTTAAAGCAATAATAGGTTTCAGCAGAATCCTTAGGATGTTTTGTTTGTATGTGGTATTTTCAAATTTTTACCTTTAATATTTAGTTCCTATTCTTTTATTACATTAGATTTCCGAACACTGTATGTCATCGGCTTCAGGTGAGACAGATGTTCATCATCACATCATGGCTTGATGGAGTGGAATGAAAAACAGATAATAAAGATCCATGCACTTGGCTCCTTGTCTTCATTGTAAGAAGTCGGCCTTTAAGTTCCTTCTTGCTGGCGTTTGAACAAAACAGATCGTTTAATGTATTGGATGTGCAGTATTACTGATCATATTGTTTCAGCTATAGTCTGTTGTATTTGTAAAGCTAAACGACAAAACAATATATCTGTATGTTTTTCATCCTTTGGAAATAAACATCCAGCATACATCTTGACATGTTTGAAATTATCTCTTCAGAGGATTTTATTTTATCTTGTGATGTGTTTCTTTGTAAAATTTAAATGTTCTTTCTCTCTGACTGAACGTAAAAAAAGATGTTATGTACCCATGTATGTGCTGTTGTGCTGTGTTGAATGTGTGATGGCGCTGTGTGCTGCAGCTGGCAAGTCCAGGTGGAGTCCGGCTTCCTGTATAGCAGGTTTCAAGTTAGTTGTATTTATTCTATATGTTATCTATTGGAGCACAGTGACCATCGACACACATTTGGGGACCAAGCATTTCATATTTGGTGCGGCTGGTATTTTGTAAGGGTATGAATATTTCTCCAGCGGCTGCTGCTACACCAGAACAACCGATATGGTTGTGTGTTTTTTCAAACAGAACTATAAGCCTATGGATATTTTTTTTAAATTGCAGACAATCTAAAAAGGTTTATCAACGTTTTCAGCATTTCTTTTTTCAAGTTTAAAGTATCATATTTTTCTAGGCATTTCGGGGGACACTGTCTCTTTTTCTATTTTATGAAAGCCACTCCATCAGCCCCCTTTCAAATATGGAATGGTGAGTCCCTTGATACAACAGACGTTATTATTATCATGTGCAGGTAGTGGTGGTGATGTATATTTGTATATACTGTGTTATAGGTTTCTTTTTTCAATTTGTTAAAATATTTACAAATCAACCTGTAATGATACAAATAAATAACTGTACAATCACTTGACATTGGCTTGTATTGCTCTTGTTGATTTGAGAAAATTCAGTTGTGTCCTTGGTTAGAATTCCGCCAGAATGTCCTCGTTTCTCTTGACTTCAGTGGTGGATAATGTGTGACCACAGTGATTGCTATCTACACAGTCATATGTAGCTTGTGGATTCAGCTGCATCTGTGATCCCGGGCTTACATCTACACAGTCATATTACTGGAATATTGCTATCTGTCACTAGTCCCGGGTTGATATCTACACAGTCATATTACTGGAATATTGCTATCTGTCACTATTCTCGGGTTGATATCTACACAGTCATATTACTGGAATATTGCTATCTGTCACTATTCCCGGGCTTATATCTACACAGTCATATTACTGGAATATTGCTATCTGTCACTATTCCCGGGCTTATATCTACACAGTCATATTACTGGAATATTGCTATCTGTCACTAGTCCCGGGCTGATATCTACACAGTCATATTACTGGAATATTGCTATCTGTCACTAGTCCCGGGCTGATATCTACACAGTCATATTACTGGAATATTGCTATCTGTCACTATTCCCGGGCTTATATCTACACAGTCATATTACTGGAATATTGCTATCTGTCACTAGTCCCTGGCTTATATCTACACAGTCATATTACTGGAATATTGCTATCTGTCACTATTCCCTGGCTTATATCAACACATGTAAGATATGTTTTATTTGGGATTACACTTTCTTAGTAAAGTACAGATTCTAGTACTTTTTGGGTTGAGTCCCATCCGGGATTTGAACCCACACCCTCAGAGTCAGGCAC